AATGAGTCACACGTTACGTCATAAGTTCTACGTCAGAATATTAACTAATTGCAAATGTTATCTTTAAAATGCTAAAATAGTCCTCTTTTTTGTAAAATATCGCTAAGATATTTGTAATAATAAATAAAATTATAAAAATGCATTCCGTAACTTTAAGGTTACAGGCCGCAAATCTAGGTTTAAAGGGTATCTAATTTAAATTATTTAATTTTGATATATAAATCGAAAAATATTAAGTTACCTACGTTACGCGAGTTTTCATTATTAAAATTTGTACAAAAAATGTTAAAATGGAAAGAAAAAGAACTCGCAATTTCCGGAAAGCATAAATTTCCAAGATGGCGTCGGCAACAATACGAAATGGAACGAATTCGAATTTGCCGTTGCAATGCGTCACGCATTATGTCACGAGTTTTACGTCATAGATGTAATACTTCGAGTATTTTAATTGCATTTTTTAAAGGAAAGTTTATTTTTAACATATTCTTTTCTCTCGGATTTGGCAGAATATTTGTGAAACGTAAAACTTCGCTAAAAAGAAATTTTACTCGGATTACATTACAAGTGGTTGGGGTTTGATTGGAAGCAATTGCTTCCACCATTGTAAGATCGGGAATTTACAACGTATTTCATACAACTGAAAGTTTTAATTTATATTACCACAATATTTTCTTAACTGTGAATGAATGGGTAGCTGCACTTCCTTCTTGCGGATTGATTGTGTAATTTACATAATAAACAACAACCCAGCACATTTCTATTACCAAATGATCTGTCAGATTATCTATTGGGCTATGTTGAGCCTAATAACTAATTACATAAAAAATCAATTTGGCTAGAGATAGGTGCTTTAGCTGCTCTCCTAATAAATTTAAAAATTAGAATTAAATTAATGTTAAATTTAAAATATTCTGAAAGGACATTGTCCATTGTCTATCCCAAAGGATATTGTCCAAAGGAAATAATTGTCCAGAATGGGACTCAAATCTACAACTCCTGATTAGTTTAGTGATGCATTGCAGGTTACACTACCCAGATTCTATATGATTTTTATTTCTAAAACGGTTAGTGAATTTAGATATAAGTACATTTGTTCACTTAAAGTTGTGTTGTTGTTGTTGTTTTATTAAAGAATTAACAAAAAAGAAAAATATTCCTAGATAAACACTATTCTAATCTGTTTAATAGTGAAATCTGATGGTAGGAGGTAAGAATTTTTATTTATGAATTAAATACCTTGATAATATGTTTTTTTGCATGAGTGCTTTTCATTGGATATATTGTTGTGTATATTATAATATTGGATATTTAAAAATAGTTGTAAAATCCTGGAATGTAAATAGTCAAATCAAATAATGAAGTGATGTACAGTACATTAACTGATGACTATTCAATAAACACTTCAGTTTAATTAAGGCATTAAAATGAAGTAAGAATATTGTTTGTATATATATTTTTGGCCAGAATAGGTCTACATGTAATAAAGTCAGATACAGAGTGTATTGTTTGGGTTCTTATAATTTTATCTCTTATCCCATTGTTAGCATATGCGCCTTGAACATTACCACCAGAGTACATTTGAGCCAAATTCTGGATAAGGTCTCTATAGTAACCTGTTTTATAGCAATATGTTCAAACTGTTATAGTCATTTGCCATTTCAGTAAAATCTGTACAATGGGTAAAGGGTCTTTTTGTCAGGGCTCTAAAAGCAGCTATTTTGTATACATCAGGGGCTATTGGAGCTTGCAGATATAAATAATGGTGGGTGTGATGGTTTGTAATATAAACTTGGGTGAATATTTTCATTTCTATTGTTGATTTTAAGATCCAAAAAAATGTACCATTTAGTTGCTGGCATGGTCTAATTTAATATGGTCCATAAGGATTGTCATTCATTTGTTGTATGAAGCCATTTATATCTGGTTTTGTTTTCCATATAATAAAGATATCTCCCACATATCTTTTGCACATAAGCATACATGGTAGAGTTGATAAGATCATTTTTCCAATAATATTATATCTGACAAAGGACCCCAGGCAAGAGGCTATCCACAGGTGCCTCTCTCTTTTGAACATATGTCTTGTAATCATAGTGAAAGAAAGAGGAATAGCATGAAATATGTGCTTAAATCCAAGATAAATTTGCAATTGACTTGCTTATTGCTTTTATGTAATAAATGTTCAAGAGGGCAAAAATTTGTTGTAATTTGTATTAAGTGGCACACAGGTACAGTATAAAGTCTAAGACTGTAATATAAACATCTCCTATAAGTTGACTACCACAAATCATCAATTATTTGCTCTGTTTTACTGATGGATAATCTATAGGTTTTTAAATAATCTTTAAATAGATTATGAATAGCATTTTCTAAAAGGCAAGTA